CCTGGTATGATAAATCTAACAAAATTCCCAGGTTAGTGATGTCATGGGCCTTAGACAAGAATCTACTACCACCACTTTGTTAGAACAGCCTATAATTCCTTACTATATTCTAAGTCTTATCCTTTTACCTATGGGTAGTAGCTAACACCCTTCACCATAAGAGCAAATGAAGACCGTAACAAAAAGCTGCAACTGGACACATGCAGAAATCAACAAATAGTGAGAAGCCCAGCCCCAGTCGATACATCCCACATCCCAGTTCTGCATCTATGGCTCAGGGAACATCTTGAAAAGGGGGTCAGGAAGATTTTAAGAGCCTGAATAACAGAAATTCTAAAGTTCAATAGTTTCCCCTAGAAATGGCTACATGAACAAGCTGGGACAATGGATATAATAAAATACATGAAAGGAGAAACATTTCATAGGTCACATCCCTAGGCAAGGAACTACAGACATCTCATGCCTGCTGGGAGAGGGAGAATTAGCCTATCCCAGGACACTCCTCCTTACAATGTATTTAATACAAAGTGGTCTGTCTTGAAACCATATATATCTAAGCAACAAAAAATAGACTCATCAGACTGTATTTATAGGTTTCTCCATACATATAAATGTGTGTAACAATAATAATAACCAAAGAAAAAGAGACTATCAACTTAGGAGTTAAGGTGGGGTGCATGGGAAGAGTTGGAGGCAGGGTACCGGGGAGAGCAGGGAGAGATGAAAGTGAAGGGTAGAAGTGTTATAGTTCTATTTTAATTAAAATGCATAAAAATTAAAAAAAACTAAACGAAATGCAGTGTTTGAGTTCTGCTTTTGATCTGTTTCACACAACTGAGGGTCACGTCTTCTACTCTTCTACATTTTCCACATTCAAAATCCCTTCAAAAATATTCGCCCAAACTAAAATCAACAGCGAATTTCCAATACGTATCACTTTAAAATACCCGCCTTCCAAGCTGCCATACAATAAAGATGTAGTCCTGCCATTCCTTGTTTAGATGATTTTTCCCTCCTGAATATTATCCTCTTTGTATTTATAAAGTCCTTCACATTATTTAAACAAAAATGTCCCCATCTTTCTTTTTCTTTGTTTATTTCTGTTTTCCTTCCTTCCATCTTTTCTTTCTCTTTTTCCTTCCCCTCTTCCTATATTTTGAGTTTTATGTTCATTTCATCAGTTACTTAATAGGTGCCACGAGGAGAAAAGGGAGTACATCTTTTCATCGGCTGCCTTGTGACGAAGGTGCTTTGACCGTAGTAGATAAATGTATAACTATGAGCTAAATGGAATTTGTTTTTGTACTAGTGTAGACAAGCGGCATTTCACATCCGACCTAATTCTCGAACCTATTAACTGACTTCCCAGCTTCCATACTTTCAATCTTTGTATTTCTGTCTGGTTATTTCCATGCATTTGGCTGAGTTCGATGTCTCATGTTCTCATGCTACAGTCTTAGCCGTTAGTACTGGTGGCCCTCCACCTCCTCTACTACGTTTCTGCTCCCGTACTGCACCCTTAACATTGGGTGCTGGCCGTGATGGGTTGGTTCAGGATGGCTAATGCCAGGCCTCTGTTTCTTGTTGTGGCCTTAGACTTCCTCTTTTGTCCTGCAAGTCACAGAAGAACTTCCTAGGTTATCGAATTGAATTACTCCAAGCTGCTCTTTAACCAAGAATTATCAACAATCACAGAAAACCCAGCTGGCTGCCATTGACAAAAGGGGCGGCATCCGTCAAACGGCATCTGTGCCAGACCTGCCAAAGTCTACCTTTCCATATGGGTGATGCTTTCTACAACTCAGCTGCGATTTCGGGATAATTTAGAAAAATGTTGCTTGGTACAGGGCACGTCTCACCTCCACATTGATCAGATTCACAGTGTTTTTGTTTTCTATTTTTAATGATTTGTTTTGTTTTATTTTTTAAAAAGAAAACAAACTGTATTTTTTTTTCATTTTTACATACCAACATACCAATCCCAGTTCCCATTCTCTCCCCTCCTCCCATTCCCCACACCTTGCCCAGCCATTCCTCAGAGAAGGGAAGACACATTGCTTTGGGGAAGGTCCAAGGCCCTCCCTATTATATCTAGGCTGAGCAAGATATCCATCTAATCTAATTTGGGGAGAATGTGCTCCCCAAAAGTCAGTACAAACAGTGGGGATAAATCCTGGTGCCACTGCCAGTGGCCCCCGCAGTCTGCCCTAGTCATGTGACTGTCACCTACATTCAGAAGGTCTAGTTTGGACCTATGCTGGTTCCTTCCCTGTCTGGCTGGAGCTGGTGAGCTCCCATTAGCTCAGCTAAACTGTTTCAGTGGGTATCTTCATGGTCTTGACCTCTTTGCTCATGTCCTCATTCTTCCCACTCTTCAACTGGACTTTGGGAGCTCAGCCCAGTGCTTCCCTGTGGGTCTCGGACTCTGTTTCCATTAGTTGTTAGATGAAGGTTCTATAGTGATATTTAAGATATTCATCAATCTGACTACAGGGCAAGGCCAGTTCGGGCATCCTCTCTTCTATTGCTTAGTGTTTTTGTATGTGACCCCCTCCTAATGTAAGTTCACCACCTTTGCCTCCTCTAACTCTCCAGCCCCAAACCATCCTATACTATGATCAGACACACCCCAAAAGTCTTCCCTATCAAATTATGGGTGATTTCATTGAAAGTCACTAGTTGCCTCACTATGCTCACATGACACGTAAAAACAACATTCTATTTGTTTCAGTGTGACTGTGTGAAATGACTATATTTTGAAACATCTTTGGCATTAAAATACACAATGAAAAATTACCAAAACAAACGGACAGTGGGTCCAAGTGTTTGAACTGTGGGAGACTGGAACAGTAAGTTATACTTATTTGTGGAGGCATGGGGTCGCTAATCTCAAATCTGTTTCAGTTTGTTCCACACACAAGGACATGGAAAATACCATCTCCGTAGAGCTCAGGCTTTCAGAAGCTCGGCAAGTCCAAACTTTTGATTTATTTATTATTTATTTTTGTTACTGGCTTTTCTTTCTACCAAAGGTCAAATGCACAGAGAACATGGCTAGTTAAAAATATTTATTGATTGATTGTCCAAAGAAAAAGTTCTGAAAATATTTATAGCCATTTGAGCCAGTGGGCTTTCCAAATCTTGTTCTTTCACAAAGCTGGGTATAGTGGATTGTGCCTGTAGTCCCATTTACTTTGGAAGCGGAGATAGGAGAATCATCTGAGCCTAGGAGTTAGGACCAGCCTGGGGATCATAATCTGATCTCTTCTTTAAACAAATAAAACAATAACTACAACCAAAAAAATCCCCAGTAAATTTTGTCTTTATCTTTCTGTGCATTGGTAGATATTTTTTAGTCTCACTAATTTCTATACAGGTTCTTCTAACGTCCATCCATCCATCCATCCATCCATCCATCCATCCATCCATCATCTCACATTGTATAAACCAATTGCTGGGAATCAGCAGAAAGTGGGGGGGGAGGGGGAAAGCACAGGATCTTCACTTGTGCTCTTCACTGTCTAACTGCAGAAGATAAAATTATCAAATAATTATGAAAAGTAGTTAGAAATACCTCTAATAAGAGCCCTAAATTATAGAGCCCGGTGCTGTGATGAGAGCTAAAAAGGGACATGGTCTAGGTGAAGGAGGGTAGAGTCCACTTCCCTGGGGAAGTGGCAATTGCACTTTTGGTAGAAGAGTGGTGAGCGAGAGCTAAAATTACACTGTGCAGAGAGGAACTATTAGGTGGAAAGGTTCCCTGGGGCTGGGGGGCATAGCATCTTCACGAAAATGGAAGAAGGCCCGTGTGGCTGGTGCAGGGAACTGTGTACAAGGTCGGAAGGCAAGAGGGAGTCAGCCCTGCAGGCCTAGGCTATCTTAAGGATGCTGCTTTCATCCAAATGTTTAGGAGAGCTGTCAGAGGTTCAAAACCACAGGAGACAAGATCAGGTTTGTGTGTTGAAAGGATCCCAAGAGTTAAGAAGGGAATATATTAGGTGTGGGAGACAGTGGGCAGAGGGAGGTGGGTTAATTGCAGTCATGGTAGCATCAGAGAGGAAACCGAGAAGCTGGACATGAAGTGATTTAAATGGGGCTTGGTGGCAATGTGTGTTTCCTTGCTAGCTAAAGCCTTTCTGGATGAAGAGCTACACAGACCCGACGCATCTGTGCCATGCTTCCATCACAGCATCACCGTTTCTCACTCATGCAATCAGTATCCAGTCTGCATCCGTTAGTCATTCTGGCTGCTGGTGCTGCACCAATGAGCACTCGCCCCCTCCTGGACCTGTGCTTGTTCCAGACATCTGGTTAATGTTAACTAGAGTAGTCACAAAGAAACAACATTTGAAATACTGTGGGCCATTATCCTGAAGGTTCCACATTTCTTAAGTACTCCTTATGTACAGATATTGGGGAGATTAGCAGAGAAGTATCCAGTGGGGAACCACGGTGGAAAATGGGTACTCGTAGGGTCATAAAGCTATGGCATGCCATTACTTGGGCTCAGATCTTCCAATTGCAAAGCTGAGGGTGATCCCTGTTCTCCCATTTACTAATGCCCCCACCCCCAAAGATTGCAAATTTGCCTCACAAAGGGAAGGGAATTCCACTAGCCAGAAGAGAAGGCCATCCTCAGCTAGAACACATGCCCGCACTTAAGTCTAAGCAAAAGACTTGCTTTCTTCAGCATTATCTAATGAATTCTTAGCCAAATGAAGGCAGGAGATGCAGAACAATTTTGAGATTTTCATACTGACCCAACACAATGATAAAGAAACAATGATTAGGTATGGGTCTTGCCCATGCCAGCCTGGTGTATGTATCTGGAACCAAAGATAAAACAGGCAGGCCCAAGGTCTATATATTTACATGAAATTCTTTCTTCTCTTAGGACGCTTGGTCACGTACATAACTTCCATGTTTCTTTCCACCATGTTCTCTTATTACTCATTTTGAACAGCTCCTTAACACACAGGTCAATGTTCTTTCTTTATTTTATTAAATAACAAGTTTGACGTTCACAATGAGTGGTCATATGGATATGGATATGGTTTTCTTAAGACTACATAACGTCTATAGGTTTATCTTCCTCGAAGCAAGCATTTCTCACTTCTAAGGGCTGTCAGCACTCAGGGATTGGTACAATAATCATATCTCTTTACTAGGAAGTTGTTTTCTTTTATATCTGACATGTTTCCAACTACTGAAATCAAACACAACACAATCACATCTGGACTTCCAAGTGTTCAATGCCATTATTTATCAAAATAAATTTATTAATAAAAGTATTCAAAAACCACTTCAAAGTGTAGCTGCCCAAAAGACAGTTTTTGGCACTCATAACAGACACTGGTGTTCTACAGAACGGCACGCATTCGTCTCTCACACACGGTTTAACAACGCAAACGCACTTTTCAGTTTCAGTGACACATGACACAATAGGACTAGCCATCTACAGTCCTTAGACTTCAACACCTTTGCACACAGTAAACATTTTAACGTTACTTAGTACTGAAATAGTAAAACTAGAAGTAAAACCACGATGTGGTAACAATGGACTGATTTAGGGAAAAGATGGACAGCCAGCTAGCTAAGGCCACATAATCCCAGACCTATTGATTTTAAATGTTCGGACCAACAATCTTCCATTGTCTCTTTCACCTCAGACCCTTGCTTTCCCAGTGAGGAACAGCACATTCAGAACACTGTTCCCTCCCTCTGTTCTTCACACAGCAAGGGAAGCTGTTCTCACAGAGCCCGTCCTAGGTTGCTGGCTTCCTGATTCACTACCCAACTTTGAATCAATAGTTCTGGGTGATGTTTCCTAACACCCAGGCTGAATTCAAGGTCAGTCTTTTGGCAGGTCACGGCCTTTCCTCTTGGGAGACAGAATGAAATGTCCTCTGCTGGAGGCTCCTTGTCTCATGTAGCATGGGGCTCCGTGGCGATCTGTGGCTTTTTACACAAGTCTTGGTAGAATTCTGACTCCAGGAAGCGAGGATAAGAATTGTTCTCCATCAAACTGTATACCCTCTTCTGGGCTGTTGTAAAGCAGCCACTGGTCGCCTCTTGGATATTCTGGGCAATCAGAGTTTTTGTTTGAAAGTCTATGTTTATCTGGAAAAGAAAAGAAAACAAAACTTGATTTATTTGGTATTCAACATTACAAATTGATGTTTAGTAGTAAAACACAAAAGATGTAACATGTGATCAGTTAGAACTGTCAATTTTGGAGAAACTTTAATGTTAGGACAGCTGGGGTGGAGAGCCACCTATGGCTCTATCCTGCTTGCACTTTAACTGGGGTATTCAATTCTTGGGTTTCACTTCCGTGTTGAAGATGTCTAATTTAGGCTGACATGAATAACTTGGTTTCTTACCTCTTTGGGAGCTTCCTTTTCTATGAAGTCGGTATATATTTTCCTTGCTTTTGAGGACAGTTTTTGGGGTGACTTAGTTTTTTTGAAGTCTTCACAGGCCAGCCAGAATTCAATATTTTCTTCACAGAACTCAGACTTTAAAAACGCCCTGAATGCCGCCAGCCCATCTGAAAGCACAGGAAAAAGCAGCATGTAAATTGAGTGACCGAATAGCACGTTGTTCTGCTAGTGCTGGGATGACCAGTTCTCTAGCTTCCACTCAAACCTGCCATGCTCACAATTTAAGCTCTGTAGAGCTCTGAGACGCCAGCAGGCAGAATACTAAAGTTTCTATTCTGCAACAAAAATTTACTGAACTTCACTGTCAATGCAAAATAAATATTTATAGGACAGCTATCCATAAGTTCTCTGGGAACCAGGACTTTTGAAAATATTCCATGCAATCGGAAAAGCTTACTCAACCTACCTATGAGTAACTGTCATTTTAATGCTTAAGCTAATTTTTCTTCCCTAGCTAAAGTGAATACCTCATGTTTTTTCCATGATTAAACTGGAGAAATAAAAACAGCTTTATGCAGTGAGTGGTGGTAGTGCCTGACGTACTTCCTGCGGGCTGCTCTGTGGCATGGACACATTCCTAGGCTCTTGGGATACTGGTAAGAGGTCAAATTCAAAAGGTCAACTTACATTTGCTGGCCAACAGTTCATCGAATGCTTCTGCCCAGAGCAGCGCTTCCTCGGGAGAAGGCCTGAAAGAGAAGATCCAACCGTGAGCTACAGCGCCCATGACAGTTCCCCTTTCCTGTTGGGTAGCTAGATGATTCATCTCTACAACCACAGGACTTGCAACTTACTTGATAAACGTTTGCTGTTTGCTTTTCTTGCCAGTTTTGGGTTTCCCAGGAGTGGAGGAATTTTGCAAGAAGTAGCTCAAACGGGTCTTCCAATCCTTTAAGCTAGAAAAGGAAAAGGGAGAGAAAAACCAGAATTATTTCAAGCGGCAATTCCTGAACAGTAAAATGATGACCAGCTGCAGCAGCCTAAGGTCAGTCACCCAGTAGCTACAAAGCAGACGGGCAAGAACAAGCCATCTCGTCCTTGGAGCGTTAAACCCAGCACCTCATGTATCGAACATAATTTCATCCATTCGCCTGACTATAACGAGTTTTACAAACAGGATAGGGCTACAGAGCATAGCTAGGCTATTTAACATCTTCACAAGTTATTTCTGACCTACAAAAAAGGCAGCGCTTTTTCTGCATGGTTAACTACAACTGGGTGGCAGTTTTACGATTGAGAACAGCGGTGGAAATGTCTTGAGCCAGCTGGTGTGCCTACCCTTTGAGCTGGAGACAGGAGTGTCTGCACCACGACACAGGCAGTGCATAGAGGGAGGGAGGGCGGGCTCTCTCTCTCTCTCTCTCTCTCTCTCTCTCTCTCTCTCTCTCTCTCTCTCTCTGTGTGTGTGTGTGTGTATACCACGACGCTGGCAGTGCATAGCGGAGGGGTGCGTGTGTGAGAGCAAGAGAGAGGTGGATTCCGGAGCTCCCCTCCGCGACCGCCCACAGGGCTTCTCCGCAGCAGACACTGCAGAGCAAATTACTCATTCCACAGTCGTGACTGGGTGAGACCAACTTTATGATTTAAAAATCGCATCTAAAGCGAATAAATTCAGAATCATCCCAAACATTACCCAGAAGCTGTGTAAACAGCTCAGAACTCACAATGCAATGTATGGGAGCCGCGGACCCTATTCAGTTGCAGGTTTCTTGGGTCACGTTAAATGCAGAACAAAAAACCAACCCGCGCCTTCTCAGCCCGTGTCTACCGCCTCCTTCACGACAACTTCCCCCAGTCTAAAACTCTCTAAGCTCACACAGAAAAAGCACGAAATCTAGCAGGCTAACTTTTCCTTCTTTCTTTCTTTCCCCCCTTTCTCTGCAGAGGCGAGTTAGCTCAAGTCAAAGCCGAGATAAAAAGGAAGCTCGGTCCCTAACCGCAAAGCCAGGCAGAGACCAGCTTAGGAGAGAGGGCATACTCACAGCGTTCGCTTCATTTTCTCGCGCTTCTCCTCCACCTTGGGGCCGTTGCCTGCGCTCTTGTCCATGGGTACGCAGTCGTGCTGGACAGCCAGGAACATGGCACTTTGCCTACTCAGACGCCTGCGGCCACCGCAGCTGTTTGCAGCCGGGCGCGCGCCGCGGCCTTTTAAAGCGGGCTGCGGCGCAGGGGCGGGACCCGGAGGCGTCGGCCCCGCCTTTAGAGGGCGTGGATTGGCTCGTTACAGACGGCACGAGGACGGGGCCGCGCGGGCCTGCCGCAGTCACGGCAGCCGCCGAAGGGTCTGGAAGCCAGGGCGCTGATGACGTAGGTGCGGCAGCCTCGTGCGCACACAAGCGGGGAGGCGGAGGGCGGGGACGGAGCGGGAACGCTGCTCGGTCACTCGGGTGGCCACCGCCGTGGAGGGGCCCTGAGTTCGTGACTTTACCCTAAGACCGTACCTTTCCCCCCTTTTCTTGTGAACCCCCACATTTGCAACTCATCTATTTTTCACGATCTTTAAGATTCACCCGGACACTTATGAACGGCAGCCGGCACGGGGAGAGCCCTGCTGGCCCCACTATTTTCAGGAAGGGCGTAAACGAGAGAAACCTGAAACAGGGGTTGCGGAGCTAAGTGCTGTAACTCCCTGCTGTTCGCTCTGGCGTCTTAGAATTCCTTAAGGGAATGCCCTCTGGTCAGGGAGGAAGAAGGAGAAAGTGCCTATTAAAAACCGGTGTTTTAAATGGTGCTGCATTTTTGATCTTTCAGTGCACCACTGCAGCAATCTGTGACGTTACAGGGTCAGTCCCCAGGAGATCTGAAGGGCATCTCCTGCCGGGCACAGCCCAGATCTGAGTGATAGTGAGAAACAAAGGGAAACCCAAGATCTGGCAGTTCTGATGTACCCGGATCATTTGTAGTTTCAGACTGTAAAGGAATCAGGATTTCCTCATGAATCATTCCTAGTTGAGCAGGCTTAGAGTTTAACAGATGTTCATCTGCTTAAATTAAGGGGTGGGGGTGTGGGGCTAGAGCTGGAAGTGAGAGTGGGGAGGTGCAAACAGTTTGCCCGAACAAGCTTCATTTGTGAATTCCTCAGAAACACATCTTTACTCGCGCAGGTTTTTAAACTGCCCCGATTTGTAAGAACAAAAACATGACTTCAGCTGCAAACGGATTCAGCTTCCTATGTAACCAGAAGGTTGCAGCGGAATACCTAAGTGGTTTTCCCACAAAGTCGGGGCAGACAGGTAAACAGCAAAATATGGCTTGGGTTCCAGTTTTTCTACTTCACACTAGACTTTCTGAAAGAAAAATGGAGACACATTCCTCAAACTGGAAGCAGGCAGCACACAAGCTGCGGGTAGTCAAGTTCCACGTTTGAGTCGGAGAGCAAAGTCTGCAGTCGCTAATGAAGAAAATAGGTATAGCCTTATTACAGAAGGTGTATCATTTTGATTTTAGTAACAAATGCTTGAAAGCATGTTTGTAAATCTGTGAGATGGAATTTTAATAAGCCCCAAAAGAGATGCCCTGTTTCTACATCTATTTTAATTTCTGATGATTTAATACTTATTTATTAAGATGTGTAAATAGAAATAGTGTTGCTGTTTAATATATCTGTAATGTGCAGACATATTTGATTTTTCTCAGCAATACAAAACATGGAAATATTTTTCACTTACAACCCTGGTGTAAAATCATGACCACTGATATGGGACACTTGTGTAATCAGAGCCAGTGTCTAACCAGTAGTTGCTAAGTATCTGTTGGGACAGTCACTTTCCCCGCTGGAGCCCTATTTTCTCACATTTAATAGTAGCAGTGTGGCTCCTTGTTTGTTTGTTTTATGGCCAGTCTTATAAAATACTATACAAATCTTATATTTAAGACCTTTTGTAGCATCAATGAAATGCGTTAATTTGCATATCTAAGCAGGGCAATTCAAAGCCAGCTTTTCAGGATAGAAAAACCGTGAGGACTGAGAGTTAACTGGGTTCTAAATGTGTAAATTCTATTAACTATCAAGACAATGCAGATGTGTAGTGTCAAGCTTATGGTATTTAATAAATTGCTGTCTGGATGATAAATAAATAAGGAAAATAAACAAATTAGTTCATATTCGACCTCATCCAGGTCTTGAAGCTAGAAAACCCTGTTCTTTTTTATACATTAACAAAAGTGAATATCAAATGACTGGTTGAAAGACAGACTATCCTAGGCGATTTTTGTATTTAACACAAGCATTTTTTTTTTCACAAGCCTTTTCAGACTGACAATTCAGATATTAAGGCACAAACTATTTTTCTCCCTGCTTGATACATTTGTTTAAGTTTACAACCACAGATAATTTTGAGAGTTTAGGTAGTACCTACTGCAGACAGAAACTTTTTTCTTAAGACCTTCCCACGTTGGACCGGGAGGGAGTGTAGTGGCATAGTGCTCGCTCAACACCTAGGGGGCTCTGGATTCTGTCTCCACCGAAAATAAATTCCCATGGTAAAGTCTTTTTAAAGACCGGCTTCCATATTTAAAGTAAAAGCTACGTGGCGGGGTGACTTCCCTTTAGAGTTTGTTGTTGTTACAGTTGGCTTTAGGTAAATAGGATTACTAAATATTAAGATGACGCATAGTTTCCTTTTTGTGGTGGCGGAAGCAACAATGCAGTGTGGGTTGTAAAAGTCGCCAGGCAAAGCCACAGTGTGAGATTGGCTGATAAACAAAGCATGGGTTTCCATCCTGATCTGCCATGCCCCCTACTGGAGGGAGCCTCTGAATAATTTTTCTTTTTCAAACAATATCACGCAGATAATATGAAGAGAAAAATGTCTCCCTTGCCAAATGCCTATGCCTATCTTCTCCATTAATTAATTGTTGTGAATTAAAATTTTACATATACTAACTCATGCTTTAGAAATTAGAACACACACACACACACACACACACACATATATGTATATGTATATTCGAGACAGGGGTTCTCTGTGTAGCTTTGAAGTCCTGGAACTTGCTCTGTAGACCAGGCTGGCCTCGAACTCACAGAGATTTGCCTACCTATGCCTCCCATGTGTGGGGATTTTAGGTGTGGGCCACCACCATCCATTCTCAAGATATATTCTTTTAAAACACACACACACACACACACACACACACACACACAGAGAGAGAGAGAGAGAGAAAGAGAGAGAATTATCATTCTGTAAGTAACTATGCTCCTTTTTTCACTTGGCAGATGTTTCAGTTACTAATTTGAAAGAGCTCTAAACCTTTGTGAAATGATTTTTTTTTAAAACTATGAAACCGGGGATGCAGCAAAGAGTGGGATAGGTAACGGAAAAAGATAAAAATGTTATTACTATTCATATAGTCAGAAATGTGACATGGATCTTCCTTTTTCTGTTTTATTTTGTCTAACTTCAGTTTATGAAACTTTTTATCAGAATGAACACATGACTTCACAAGACTCTGTTTGTCACTCTTTTCCTGTAATATGATCTCAGATTTTAAAGTGATTATTAATTTCTTAAACTATAACTTCCATGCCCAGAAGCTAAGAGAGAAAATTAGTGTTTTTGTCAGGAATATATGGCTTTAATGCTTGGCCTGTGTTTTAGAAGACTTAGTCATCCCACCAGTGTGCGGTGGTTTCAGCTAGTTGTGCCTCTCTTCTTCTGTGTTTCGAAGTCTGCACTCCAAAGTTAGGCAAGGCATTGGAAATTTAATTGCCTTCTTTACCAAAATCACCTTCGTTATTATTGAGAATAGGAACATGAGGATTTTTTTTCTGAATGAAGAATGCTAATGTAAACCGAAACACCTCAAATAGGTGTGTGCAGTAGTTTCTAAGCCTGTGACGTCTAAATCAGGGGATCCTTCCTTCTGCTGCGCTTAGTAGAAAGCTGATGGGAGAATGGTTAGAAATTCTTCTTGTAAAGTAAGCTGCAGAAGTAGTGATCTGTAGCCTGCAAAGTACAGAAACACAGCGAGGGAGTTCTTTCTTGACATTTCTTATGACTGGGATTTTAATTTCTAGCCAAAGAAATGGGAGTGTTAGTTGGAGTATATTTACTATTCTTTTCAAATGTGGTGAATTTGCTTAAGGACATATCAGATTTCAAAGGTTTATAAGCTGTTAGTCACTGGGTGATTGAGGCAACAGAATTATGAGCTGAGATTCCAGCCTGGGCTACATATGAAAAAGAGAGAGGGGAAGGAAAGGATGGAGGAAAATGAAGGAGAGGAGAAGAGGAGGGGAGAGAGAGGGAGGAAAGGGAAGAGAAAGGAAGAAGAGAAGCTGTTTTCTCCCTTCCTTTTTTTTTAGTATGAAAAGATCAGTGGCAACAAGAGATCTGATATGCTTATTTTTCCCCCAATATGCTGAAAAGTTTTTAAGTAGAGAGCATTAATCTAGTTTATGCACTTTTCAGGTCTTTGATCCATGAACTACTTTATAATAAAAGACAACTTTGTACATATTCTTTTTTCCCATTCTATTTTCTTTCCCTTTGCCTCACCTTTCTCTCCTTTCCCCTCTTCTTCTTTTCTCTCTTTCTTCCTCTCCTCTTTCTACCTTCCTTCTCTTCCCTTTCATCCCCCTCTCTCCCCTCCTCTCTCTTTCTCCTTTTTCTTCTCTCTCCTTTCCTTCCCCTCTTTCTTCTTACAGTGTAGCCCAGGCTGGACTCCCAACTCTTGATGTTGCCTCCATCACCCAAGTACTAAGATCACACTAAACAAATAAAAAAGAGAAGAATCCCAGGATCTCAGGGGAAATGACTGGGTGATGGAAGCTGTTGCTGTGGAGATGTTAATGGAATCGGACACAGCTATGCTGCATCAACCCTAAGTGCACTAGTGCACTTCAAACTTCCCAGCTTCTTAAATTCACATACTTCTGTGTTTGTTTTCATAAAGTGTGTTTGACAGAGCAGATTGGATGGATATCTTGCTCATTATCGGAACACTTACCTATTATTCCTACCGTTGCTGTTTTCCTGTAGCCCCCTGTTAGGTATTATGACTGGGAAGGCATGTTCCTGCTACAGTTGGAAAGAATGAATGAATCAAAGAATATTCTGAGCAGCTGACAGCTTAAAGGGAATCAGGGTGAGTTATCCCTTGTGTACTGAGGACCTGCTGTGTCAAGGATTGAAGTGGTCTGATGGGAGTTTCGTCACTCTACTGTGCTGATTGCAGTGCATTGAAGCTGCA